GGTGGGCTTGAGTGTGGGTGGGTGGGGTGGGTAGGGGTGTGGTGGGTTGGGGGTGTTAAGGTGATGGTAGGTAGAGGTGGGAGTGAGTATTTGTTTATATTTTAGAAAATTTTTGGAATTAGAAATATATAGAAAACAATGATTATTGGTTTACCAAAATTTCTAACTTCTTTGTAATTTTAGATTACGAAAAATTTTCATTTTCCGTGAAAAATTTAGAAAAATAGACGAACTAAACGCGTTTTCAAAATTCTCATTTTTTTTCAAATTTTTTTTTCCGGAAAACGGCTCATTTTCCACAACTAAACGCAACCTTATTAATTTTTTTTTTATAAAAAACAAAAATTAACAGAACGTTAAAAAAGTTATATGAAAAATGAAGTAGATTACGATAGAAAAGCATAAAAAGTTTCATTTAGTTCAAAAAAGATATTTTGAATTTGAGGGATAGAGATAATTTTATATAAGTATTTGGTGAAAAAAAATATATTATATATCATTGAAATTCGAAATATCATACTTTGTAGATGACTGTCATTTCGATAAATATCAAAAAATTGGATCATTTTCTTATAATTCTCATAATCATATGGTCATTGCCATTATTCTTGATACAATGGGTGAATTTAATCATTCATTGGTAGTTGGGTAATTTTACAAAAGTGTTTGGATGTGTGCTGTGATTTGTGAAACTCGTTTATAGAAGCAATGAAACGTGATCAAATAAATTTTTTCTATCTGATTAAAATATAAGTCTAAAATTTTAGTTTATGCTTATATTTTTCTTTCCAAACTCGTTTCCCACGTCCACAAAAAAGTAGCTTTGGGCTTTGGCTCCTTAGCTTAGGATGCAAAGTGCAAAACGCACCACTTTGCAAATATCATGTCCACACGTCTCATACTAAATTACTTTATAACCTTTTTAAGCTTTCAATCTCTTTCAATAATGTGGGTCAAGAACATTTAGAAATTATTTTGATTCATGTTAAGAATGAGATATTTGATCCGTTATCTATTATTTATCTTTTACATTTATTTTAATTTTCAATTTTTTTGTATTTAGTAGTATCTTTACTTGTTGGTATTTGGACCACATACATTTAGGGTGAACATTTGAATCGGACCGATTTTGCAGAATTGGTAGACCTTGGACCGGACCTGTTGAGGCTTACCAAGTTTCGGTCCAGGTCCATTCCCGGTTCTTTGATGTAGGGGTGGACATTTGGACCGAACTGAACCTACTCTTGGACCTGGTTTTGCAGAAATTGGTGGACCTTGGACCGGACCTGTTGAGGTTTACCAGGTCCGGTCCGGAAGTCCAAATGCTTACCCATAATACATTAGAAGGAGCGGTGACCCCATTCATTGCCATGCTTAAAATTGTTTTCTATTTTTAAAACTAATATATATATATATAT